TTTTTTTTGTTTTGTTTTGCTTTGTCAGACAAACACATTGATTTCTGGACCACAGTAGAGGATGGAAACCTTTCACAAACTTATTTATTTGAAAATACAAATATAAAATTATACTTTCCACATCTGTGATGTGAGAGACTGCCATCCACATAGTAATTTTTTACAACAGGGCTTTAAGAAAGCCACACACAAAGACCTGAAAGATGCTTGAGATATATATATATATAGATACATATATATGTATATATATAAAAAAAATACTCACTACCAAAGTTCTCATCAGTTTCATACTAAAGTATAAAAGTAAGGGTGAGGTCAGCCACAGTGCTAGGGAAAGTTTTATTTAGATACATTTATGTCCACATGAAACGCTTAGACTTGCATCCTATTACATATGGAATTCCGAGTTTACAATACACCATGAACGGCAGATTGGCTAGCCCACGCTACTCAAGAGGACACTCACAGATTCCACGCGGGATGGTACAGTATGTACAGAATACAGTAACGGAGAGCCTTCCAGAAGGCTCTGGAACTTTTGTCTCAGTCCCCCTCCCCCTCCCCCCTCACGCCCCTGCCTCCAGGGACACACAATCCTGTCTGAGACAATACATTCTGATTATATGATAGCCAAGAGTTTGGATTAAGGTTGTTCCCCATGGAGGGGTGGGTTTTAGTTTGTTTGTGTGTTTGTGTGTGTGTGTGTGTTTGTGTGTGTGTGTGTGTATAAGTTTTAGTTAAAGTTTGTTTTTCTTGGTAAAAAGAAAAAGAAAACAAACAAACAAACGTATTACAGTATTAAAGTATTGCTTAACATACAGCATCTCCTGTGTAGTGTCTGTGCCCAGGACCGGGCTGAGATAATCTCTCTGCTGGGTTCTCCTAAGGGTGAGGGTGAGGAAACCCCTCAGGTTTCTCTTCAATGTGTTCGCCTGCAGCATGCACCTCTTCTCCACCCACTGCCCCCCTTGCTTCCTGGAAGAGAGCCTGACTTACGAAGCACATTAAAGGATAAAGGGGAAAAAAAAGTCCTATGGTGTCCCTCTGCCCCCATTTCCCTCTGTTCCTGTGTGCCATTTCCAACCGATAAAGAGAAGTATGAGTTAGTGTTTCTTTTGTAAACAATTTCATATGCAATATAATACAGAAAGCATGGCTGACCCTCAATAAAAAAATGTAGGAAACTATATTGCTTTATTCTTGATTATGGTGCAGTGAGTGAATGGCAGAATGAAGCAGTGTGGTGGTGGTGGAGGCTAAGTCCCTAGCCCTCGTTTGCACTCAAGATCAAAATAGGTTTTGTTTTTCTATTGGGGAAAAAAAAAGACAATTTTCTTTCTTTCTTTTTTTTTTCTTTCAAAATCCCCAAATGAAACAAGAAACAAAAACAAAACCAAACAAAAAAACCCAGAACACCTTTCAGGTCATTAGAACCAACAATTACCCAATGATGTTTTGACTAGTCTAGCAAGATGTGTGTAACATTCACTGGCTGTGAATTGCTGTGCAGTGAAATAGCAGGTTGACAGCAATAGAGCCATGCTACCTTAAAGTCTAAGCTAAGAGTTCAAATTAAGATGAAGTTTATGAAGGATAGTAACGCAAAGGCCAGTTGGGGCTTCGTTTGAATCAAGCTGCTGAGCGACAGGGATGGAGCATGAGGCTTTTGGTTTTCCTAACGGTGTGAGGAAGGTCACAGACCAAGATGGCGGGAGCTCCTGGGGAAGAGGCCAAAAGCTTGGTCAATTCCGGCAGCTCCATGTCCAGGTGGAACCAGGAGCTAGTGCCACTCACTCTCCTGGGCTTGGGAGGAGAGGAGTTTGGGGGTTCCAGGCAGATGGATCTGGAAGCCAGAAAGTCACCTGGTAGCTGATGGCTCTTTTTCGTTCTGGGGAGAGGGAAAGCCGTCAGCCAAGAGGGGTTCTTCCCGAGGGGAAGGCAAAGGTGATTTCCATGTCGCCATTGAGCTTAACTGAAACAAAGACGAGGCTGAAACATCAATACTAAAATAATTGACAAAAATCTTTCAAAATGGATTTCTAGATGGGGGGGGGTACTAACATGAACCTTAACCTAGGTAGCCACATTAAAACATACCAGATTTCCATAAGAGTTGTGCTATGGGCTACTGGGTCTCTTCAAAAGGTATATAAACATCTAAAACATATTCACACAGATTATCAATTTCTTCTGAGCATTCTTAAAAAAATATTTTTTTCTCTTAGTAAAATCATTTTAATATACCATGCCTCCCTCTTTTAAAAAATAAATTAAAAAAATCCAGTTTTGCATATCTAGCATTAGCATTTAAGGTAGTATGGCACACCCCTTCACAATTGGGGGGTGGGGGGGTCTACGAAATGCCATGGCATCTGCCAGCATTTGAACATTGTGAGACCTTGGATTAGTTGAAAACCACATCAGATCAGCAAAAACAAAATTAAACTTGAAATTGGAAAAAAAGAAAATGAAAAGAAGAAACGGCCCCAAAATTATTAGCATGTGTGTGTGTGTGTTTTTTTCTTTTTTCCATAAATAAGAGAAAGTTCTATCCTTACTGGTCCTAAATCTGAATAACTATGTCTAAATTTTTTTAAACCTTAATTACATTATACCTATCAATATGTACTAGAAGAAAGAGGAGAAAAAAAGTCACTAACACTAGTACCAGGACAGCACGCTTACAAGATAGCCATTTTATACATTATTAACAGACAATGATCAACAAAGAGTATTCTATAAGGCGATGGGGACGCAGAGAAAGCAAAGGGAAGTACAGTATATCACCAACATGGACAAAATAGTAATGAAATCCCCGAAGCTAGACACTGAATTTCTGGGAATTTACTGTCTCTTTATTTCCTTTGTGTTTTTAAAAAATAAAATGTCTATTTTGTTATCTGATGACTCATTGTAACATTTTAAAAGAGCCCAGCATTTTACTTAACCTGGTTGTTTGGAAATGAAAACATCTTTACTAAATAACCTAACATTTAATTAAAAAAAAAAAACAAAACAAAACCAAGATTTAAAAATTTTTAATGTCCTTGTGGTTTAATTAGAATTGGAAAAAAGCCTTTTTTTCCCTCTCTTTTTCTTTCTTTCTGGGTTAGCATTTTGGAGTCTTGGTTGAAGATGCTTTTGGCCTACCATGTGTGTGAATGTCTACATTATTCTACTTTGTTAGTAAAATTTATAAAAATACGAGTGCAGCAGCTCTTTATAGTTAATGTCGCATTCAGTGTCTCAAACCGGCTGTGCCTTAAGTACCAAATTTATAAACGTAACAATTTAAAAAATATTAATAAAACGTCAATATCACATTTTTAAAAAAGAAAAAATATATATCCACACTACAATATGTTTAATGCCATCTATTGAGTTGTACTTCTATAGTTGCTGTTGCCAACCTATTACCAATATTTAAAAAAAAGTTAAATTAAAAAATATCCTTCATCATAAGTATCTTTCCCCAACTGAGGACCATATATTATAACAGCCAATGTCAAAACATGTGCAAACAGGAAACTGTCAGTTTTTCCCACCAGTCACAGTGCAGTGATGTTTATACTTTTTATTTTTAAAATTCTGTTTACATCTACAATAAATTAAAAAAAAAATCTCCCATAGCCTCTCTGGTGATACTTGCAGCACTGAGGTATTAAAAAAAAAATATAAACCAAAAGGTTGATTTTCTAATTTGTCGATAGAAAGTGAATGGAGAAAAGGTTTCATTAATGCAGGCTTATCCACTCCTGGCCCTGTGGGGGGGTGGGCGGGGGGGGTGGGAGGAAAGAGAGGCCTAGTGTCCTATCAACCCTTTGGAGGTGCTGAAATGATTGGACAATAGAAAATGATCAAATATATTTAAAAATTAAGACTGAAAAAAAAAGAATGTCCCCCCACCTACCCCCACCCAAGCCAAACAGATGTGCTTTGAAATTTTAAATATGTTAAATATTAAAATTGTAGCTTTGTTTTATTTTCTTTTTTTAAAAAACGTCTTGGGAAAAGCAGTTTTTCATATTTTAAATAAAAATCTAACTAGACGGTAACATTGGAAGCTGTGCACAGAGGTTAATATGCTGGTATGACACAAATACAGTTCTTAGGTCTATCACACAGACAAAAAAGGAGCTAAACAGTGTTCTAACTTCTCCTGGGGTCGTCCTGGTAACTGGGTGTCCCCAGTCTCAGTGTGACCGTGTCATCGTCCCCTCCCCTCCTTCTCCCACAGAGCATCAAACTGCCTGGGACGGACTCCCTCACAAAAATATTTTTTGATTCTCTCTTTCTTAATAGTTTCTATGTAGTTAATGGAATTGTATTTACAACATTTCTCTCTTTTTTGTTTGTTTTTTGTTTTTTTTAGAATTCACAATTTCAAAAACCTTATAATATCACCTCTTTCAACAGAAAAAAAAGCACTTATAGAAAAGGAGGAGACTCAAAACATGGTCGTCCTTACCTTATTGCCGAAAATAGATATACTTAGGTTAACAAAGAGACATCACAAAAAAGGACTGCTGGAGTCTGTTACTTAGCCTACGACAGCTCACTTCTACAATGCAAAATAGGAAGTTCAGGCCCACCTCCTGCTCCAAGATTTCTCAAGTTTGCTTCAGCATGTGTTCAGATTCCACCCGAAAACTCATACAGTCTCAGAATTGGTACCAAAATATTGAGAGTAATATTACCATCTCAGCATCCTTTAAAAGTGTGAACAGAATCAAACAAGAAAAAAAAAATCCCAAACCTCATATATTTTTTTAAAAGAAAAAAAAATAACTCCTTAATATAACAGTTATACTATGGTTAGCTTTTCACTAGATATTAAAGCTATATGACTACGTGACTAAGTCAAAAATCACTACCAAATGTGATTCAAAGAGACTTAAAAGGAAAAGGGGAGAGATAGGAGAAGGAAACCATCGAGGAAAAAAAAAATCAACCCAAAAAACCCAACAAAAATGGAAAAACAAACGAAAACCAAAATCATAGGTTATATACACATTTAAAAGCTGTTGTCTTATATTACAGCAGATCTGTGAGATGATAAGATGGAGTCAACCCTCGATCCGAAGCGAGCCATCTCTGGTTGGGATGAGGAGTGAGGCTGGTGGGGGTCCAGGTCTGATGACATCACCTAAACAAAGGGCCGCTCAGAAACTTCGCCCAGTCTTGCCTGGACATCCAGGTATGCTCTGCGTGGTGCAGGATGTCAGGAACGCCCAGAAGAGTATCGGAGTTGGGTGGGAGGAGAAAGAAGGAGTGTTAGGCCAGTATTCCAGTCAACCGCTCAACTCCAGCTTTCCCTTGGCTTGTCTGTGTGACCACGGCCTGGCTGCCCGCTTGCCTGATTCTAGGGGGTGGCCAGCTCCCCACCTCTAGGTCCCCTACTTGTTACAGTACCCGTGACTCTGACAGGATAAAGACCAGAAGTGAGTCCAACCCCCGGGGTGGCACAGGGTTTGGATCACTTCCCTGGTGAACTGCACCTCGATGGGTAAAGCTTTTCCCTGTTTAATTATCTTTTCAAAGCATTATTTTCAAAATTTATGCTTCATTGGACACCCATTGATGTCTAAGAAGAACTGAAAATTCACTTTTAATTTTTGAGAACATACTAGATGGCTAAGATTCAAATTCAGGATGTTTAAAGGCATATGCACTGAATTAATCAACTTTGACTTTAGGAAATATAGCCGGGCCCAGGACTCCCAGACTCGCTAACCACTTCTCCGTAAGTGGATGGTGAGCCCGATGGACTCACTGCTTTGACCGGGAGAATGTCGCAGGACTGGGCAGCAGGCACAGGCTCTCTGAGATGGAGCGGACTTGCTGGCACCCAACAACGAGAGGTCACCCCATGAGGGACAGATGGCACCTAATAAGAGGTCATGCCTTCAGGGACACAGTGTGTACCTAGAGCCTCTCTCTTCATTGCTGCAGTACAGTCATGTGACTCCATGAACCCCCTTAATCCATTCTGGATAGGTGGGGTGCCCATCTGACCCTTTTATGGAAATTGAGAGTTGGAGGAAGGAGGCTATGCTGCTGTGGGACCATGGGGCTGGGAGCCCGCCACCTCTCAGTTTGTTGGAGGTGGAGGGAGAAGGTGGCTGTACTGACTGGCCAGCCTCCTGCCTTCCAGAGGATCAGCTCATGGATTAATCCTTCTTCATCTGGCTCTCCTTTCCCTATGTCCACGGGGAGCCCTCAAACCCAGCTTAATTAGCAATGAGTAGCTGCTTCCTTCAAACGGTTAGTGGTCCAGGGCTCTGGCCAGCGGTGGCTGAGTGAGTGTTCAAAGGGAAGTGGAGGTGAGGCGTGGTGAGAATTCACACACGTGGTTTACTTGGTTAAGAGAGGCGGCTTTGTTAGTTGGCATGGCTTCTTAGCAGCAATATTAGAGAAATCCAAGAGATTTGTGGAGTTCAGCTTAACTCGGGTTCAGTCTGCAGAGTCCTAGCTGACTATGGGCCTGCAGTGCCCTCCTTCTAGAACAGGTGTCCCATTAACAGCAAACAGAAAGGGGCAAATTCACCTCTAGCCTCACTTCTCCTACGTCCTAACTCCAAGAGCGAAAGCCTTCTCCAGCCCTCATGCTCAGCTGGGATTTGCCAAGGGTGCTCCATTCCCAGGCTTCAGCTGTCGCCCCTTTTTTGCCCCAAAAGACAGGCTCATATTTTACCACTCCCCAAACTAACATGCAGACACAATATGCATTTAGTACGTTCATGGGGACAGTCCTCTCTCCCATTTTTGGTGTTCATCCCAAGAATCCATTTTCAGATAAGAATATGGAAAAGAGGTGTTTTCACCTGACTGCCCCAACTTTCCCTCTCCTCCATCCCATCCCCTCCACTTCCCCATCAAAGTGATTTTTAAGAAAATGTTTAATTAACTTGAGCTCAGTGTAGAAAGGTTAGGAAACTGGCAGGGATCCAAACTCATGTTACGCAGGTGATGTCGTTAATTTAATTTGCTTTTCGTGCTGTAATCTGGATAATTGCTCAGTAGTTACTGGCAAAAAATGTTTTCTTTTCACTAAAACATGGAGTCTGGTTGTTTGATGGTATAGACACCATTGGCTGAGTACCCGCGAGCCCTGGGGAGCCAACATGGCACAGTGACCTTCAAGGTCAGCTCTTGGGATGGGTATAAGGGACAGGCTGGTTCCCTCCCAGGCCTGGTGGAAGCCAGCACTTCCCTGCCTTCATCCCTGGGGACGGACACAACACAAGATCTCCTTCCAGTTTCCCCACACGCTTGATTATACTTCAAGACAGAGAAAGATGAGGAGTAAGGAAGATAAAAGGAATCACAGGATTCAAATCAAGGAACAAAGAGAGAGAGAGAGAAACTAACAAAAGGAGAGAGTGTCATGATTAAAGGTATCTGGAGCAAAGGGGTCAGATTAAAAGACTGCGATTTTCTTTAAGTCCCATTCTCCAGAAAAGGGGTCCAGGAAGGGAGTGGGGGAGGGAGAGAGACAGAGAGAGAGAGAATTCGATGTGGACGTGATGAGAAGGGCGTGTGCTTAAATGTATGACCAGTGCACATACATGTACGGACACGCCCGGCAGGGCGGAGACACACGGCAGAGACGGTAATACCTCAGTGAGATGGTAACGAAAGCACCCGCTCAATGGTATCCATTTGTAAAGGCCGTTGCAATCAAAGGTCCCTAAAATTGCACAATTGTTAAGGTCATCAGTGCGCTATACATGGGAACAGATTGTCACATTCTGGGAGAAGAATTCTCTCTAAGGCTAGTCCGTGGTTGCCAGCATGAATATGTAATTCTGAGACACCGTGCTGTGGGGGCCAAGCTGGTGTCCTCCCCGGGAGTCCAGGCTTCCTCCTCCATCCCTGCCCCATGCCTGCAGGTTTACCCAGTGGGTAAAACAAGAGCCACATCCGGGGTGGGGTGGGAGAAGGAAGCTCATTCCCCAAATGGCAGGGTTGTTGCCCTCAACCCTGGATTCAAAGGTAGCAAACGTCTGTGTTCACAGCCAGGGGCTCCAGCTGAGGAGAAGGTGCAGTGCATACAAAACGGGATTCTGTCTGGTTACTTCAGAAAAGCAGGACAGCACATGGGTCCGAAGACCCAGGTTTCCAAGAACAAACAGGGTCTGTGATTCTGAACGCTGGAAAAGGAAGTGAGTCGTGTTTTAAGTGCTGATGGACAGCTGACCAAATTGATGTGGCGCTAAGCTGAATAATAATATTCTGGATTTGCGACTACAGCTGACCTGAAAGGGATTTGACTGATTTAAGTGATACTGGTTTGGGAATGGAATTGAACAGGGACCCAGATTACTGGGGCCAGGGCTATAGAAGTGTGTGTGTTATTTGAGTGTGTTTAAATGTGCATGAAAAGATCTGTGTGGGAGAGGGACAGTGGTAGCCTATGTGTGAATGTGAATATAGAAGAGAGTGTATGAGAATGTGCGTGTGTGATATGGGGTGTGTGTGTGTGTGGTATAGTGGCATGTATTACTGTGTATCTGTGAGAGAGGATTTGTGTATGGCCCCATGGATGGTTTCTGTGGTGTGTATAGGTTAAGAGGGTATGCACCCAAGAGTGTGCTGTATAAGTATCTGTATGTATGTCTGTGTGTATGTAGTGTCTGTGTGTGGTGTGAATGAATGTGTAGTATGTATTATTCATGTGATACGTACGTGTGTGCGCGCGAGCACCCATATGTGAGTGTGGTTTCTGTGGGGTACTGTTTGTGATAAAGTGTGTGTTGTATGCAATTATGCGAATGAGTATTGGTGTTGCTACTGTTACGTACCATTAAACTGGAAGTGACTTACAGGTGACCCTCCGGGGGGTTTTCAGAGGCGGCGTATTACACAGGAGGAGACTGTCCATCTTTCTCCCACAGGAATGAGGATTAGTGTGTGGTATATGTGTGTGGAATATGAATGAATGTGTGGGGTATGTGGTGTTTGTGAGGGTGCTGGCTAAGTGTGTGTGGGGTGTATGTGGATTCTGTATAGTGTGAGACAGCAGGTGCATCTGTGACTGTGTGGTATTAAATCTGGTAGTTTAGTTTGTATGTGGTATGTGATACGTAATGTACGTGTGGTGTGAACAGGACACACTGTGTTGTGTGTATGTGATATCAATATGACATGTCGTGGTGTGTGTATGTGATGTAGGTGTGAACTGGGGGGGGGATGCTGGGAATTTGGCTGTGGTGTTTTAGTGGTGGGTGGGATGTGTGGGGTGTGTGGCCTGCAATGTGAGGGACAGGAGTCAGGGTGCTGTGCCCCCGTCCTTGTCTGCACTTGTCTCCCCAGCACAGCCCCCAAGGCCGGCTTGCCTGTTTTCTTCCAGAAGTCTAGTCCAACATAGACATGACCTGGGGCAGCAGATACTACCATCAGAGCTCAAAAAGAAACTGCCTCCCAAATGCTGTGTAGGCTTGGGGATAGGTGGCCGATTTGCTGCTTCCAAAATTCCAAAACGGGAGGGCAGTGAGTCAGCGGGCTCAGGCACATTCATGCTCACACACACCGGGAGGGAGAGGAACAATACAATCTGAAAACAGCATGCAAATCTGTTAAGCAAATTTCCATTGCCTGGATTAGTCAGATTATAGAACCACAGAGCATTACAAATATCAAATGCATCTGGCCTTCAGGGGGCCGAAGCTAAAGAACTCAAGTGGGAACTTACTTGGAACCTGGAAACTGCAAGAAATATTAGCAAAGGGGAATCATCTGGGGTTGGGCCTGCACACCCTCCTCCCAGGCACCCAGGTGCCACCAGGAACCTATCAGTGTTGGCTGCTATCACGGGGTAGGCGTAGAGGGCCCCACTCTGTGGAAAACCACAGTCTTCCAAACACAGGAAGCAAGGCTGAGAGCATTGAGCACCTACTATGTGCAGGGCATGTGACATAGTTTTTTGTTTTGGTTTTTTATTTTTGTGACACGTTTTATAGCCAGATAGAGACATGGGCTTCAAATAGGTAAGTGGGTGATGGTGGCAAGGTTGAAGGAGCTGGAGTGGTGACCCGCTCATGCTCCGGCCACACTATCACAGGTGCTGTGCCCAGTGCCTGGCCCACAGGCACTCAGGAGATGGCTAATGGAGGAGCTCAGCTGCAGGCTGAGGTGGTACATGCTCGTGATAAGGACCCCGTTCTACCTCTGTCTTCCTGATAAACCCTCCCCAGTGGTCAGGAAGAGTTGGTGGTCAAGGAGGAGGCAAGAGGCAGGTACTTACAGCTATGCCGTGGCCGAAGCCCGAGCCCGGCTGAGGGCTGGCCGCACTTATGTAATTCCCCACTCCGGAGTCCTGGCTGGCAGGGCCATAGAGATCGGCGACAGGTCCTGGGCTGTTGGCCCCCGGGAAGCCTCCGGGCCGCGCCGGGTTGGAGCCTGCCGGGGAAGCGGGCGCGCCAAAATTCGGTTGAGCACTGTAGCTATTCAGGACTGGTGTGCAGAGAATAGAGCTGGGTATGAGGCCAGAAGCCAGGCATGCACCGGTCATCACAAGCCAAACACTCGAGAGAAACAGCTGAGGCCCAACTTCTAACACTTAACCAAGGCCATGCGAAAACATCAGCAGGGACTCAAGAAGACTCAGCCCAGGCTACTACTAAGAAGCTCGGAGCTCCAAAAATAGAGTGAAAAAAACAATCATTCAACACACTACAGCAACCAACCGGGGGTGCTTCACTGCCCACCAAGTTACCACAATCAAAATAGATATAGATATATATATGGAAGAGAGAGAAAGAGAGAGATTTTTTTTCACATCTGAATTGATGCTCATGCAGTCTTTTCTAGATCTGGGCACGTAGAGACAGCATTCACATCCCATGCAAACTACAAAGGAACTAGTTTTAGACTACACATTGTGTTAATATTGATATTAAAACGTGACAGGAAACAAAGCAGTTTGTGTCCAGGAAAAAAAAAAAATCTTTGGGGAGGGAATTTTTGATCTTTTGTTTTTGTTTTGTTTCGCTTTTGGTTTATTTTTGGATCCATTAAATGACAAATTTGTTTGGGGGCAGAAAAAATTAAGAAAGAAGAGATACAAAAAAGATCTCCATTTCCCACCCCCCTCAAAGCCCTCCCCCCTCCCCTCCTGCTACTCCGGCCCTTCCCGCCCCTCCCGTCCATACCCCTGCATGAAAGTTGTCGATTCTGAACGTGGTCGGAGGATGGGATATGTTATGGAAAAGTCTGGGCATCTCAACATAACAGTAATGAAGGCGGCCGAGGACTCGCTGCTGGGGTGAGCGCAGGGGATGGAGGGCGGGGATGGGGTGGGAATGGCACACTTAGAGGCTGGGGCTGAAGCTGGGGTGAAAGCCAGTGGCCCTGTGGGACGCCCACACACTCACCTCCTGTAGAAGGGAAGGGGGGTTTTAAACTTTTCTTTTCCTTTTGTTTTAAAACACAAAAAAAGACAGAGAAGTATGAATGCAGAGCATACTGACTGAACTGGTGCATAGCTGAGGCACACCTGACCTAAGGGCCTGCCTCCTGTTAGATAGGACATCAGGCGGAGGAAAAGGAAGTGCAGTGCACATCTCTGCTGCAGAAATGGAACATCCACAGGTCCAGAGAGCAGAGTGCCGGGCGCTGGGCATGAGGAGATCCAGCCTCCTGCCCTGACCTCAGCCTTCCTCCAGTTCCATCATCTCCCCCTCACCGGAACTGAGGGCCACAGCCTGCCAACCAAGCTAATTTTGTCTCATTCTAAAAAATTTCTCGATAGTAACTGAAATGTTATTTTCTTTTCCAAAATGAGAAAAAGAAAAAAAAAAAGAATTAATTTTTCAAGGAAATGATTCAATTTCAAGGGGCCAGCCACTTTCGGACAAGTCAATGTACTGAACAACCCACGTCCACTTTATCAGCTCCCAGGGGCTGCTCCTCATGACAATCATTTCTCTCTCTGGCCTTCCTCAGCAGCATCCTCTCCTTACTCTGCCTTCAACAATGGCAGAAAGAAATCACGCCCGTCAACTCTCCTCTAGCTTCAGCCTGGCTTGTGGTCCTATGTCCCACTTCCAGTGAGACCTGAGGCATCAGAGTGGATTTTTACCCGCTCACCCCTGGGATACGAAGAGAGGGATGACACACCCGAGCCAGGGCACCACTGAGCCTGGGCCCTGAAGATACAATGAAGACTATACCAAGCTGGCTCCTGATTCAGCACAGAAAACCCAAACTCTTGTCTCGGGGTGTCCTTTGGGGCATGAAGTCCCGAGGTGAGACTCCTTTGAAGCTGTGGCTGAGAAAATGAATAAATTGGCCAGTGGAAAGAACAGGTTAAAGAGGAAAAGGTGGGGGGGATTACAGCAGCTTAGCACGAGTGAATGGCTTATTTGGGAATGTGCTGGCAGACAAAGGGGATGGGGATTTTTGAATACAGAAGATTAAACTTGTAGATAACATTTGGCCCTTCTCACTCATGGAAGCAAATATCAAGCTGAGATATTCAAAAGGCTGTATTATCTTGGTTGCACACACTTTTTCTTCTGAGCTGAGAAAATGGAAAGGGCTCAGGCAGTGGACTCCTGGTCTACCCAGGCAACTGAGCGTCCTGCCTCGTGCAAAGTAACTGAGTCGGCTCTGTTTTGGGGCAATAAGGTGGGGTGGGCAGTGGCAGAAGGAGAGGGAAGATGTTTTGCCTTTTGTTTCTCATTTGACTGGATCAAGGTAGAAGCCTGTGGCGGACCCACCTATTTAAGATATGAGGAGAGGAAGGTTAGGGTTTGGACCCTTCAAGCAGGGAGAGATGGCAAGAAACCAATCCAGACAGCAAAAATAACCATGAAGACAGAGGTCACCAATAGATGCTGGCCACAGATGCCTCTGCCACAGGCTTAACGGACAAGATGGCTCAAAGCTAACATTGCCACGTTGGAACTACCCATCCCTGAGTTAGATTTAGCCAGAAGGGAGATCCTACAGTAAGGAGCTCCTTATAGGGCTGTATCACTCCTCCCTGATCAGGTATCTCTTATTAAATGCCATGAGTATCACCTGGAGAAGGCGCTGTGTTAGTATGCAGCTTTAAAATCTCCACGTCTTATTTTCTTACACCAGTTAGTTCAATGTCACCTTGCAGACGTCCCTCAGGCTGGGTGAAAGAGCAAGGCAGCCTGGTACCCACTAGAGGGCGCAGTCAGCAGGCGCTCAGCCTCTGGTCCCTTCTCCAGCCTCAGGGTGGTGAACTTGCGCCCTGCAGGGCTGGACCCAGAGCAGAGGCCCTCCTGGGATCCACAGCCAGCATGCCCCCTGGATTGTCAGGAGACCCAGGTTCCAGAAAGCTTGCAGAAGCTCCCAAACAAGCCACCTGGAATCCCATGCATCTCTACTAAAACTCCCTAAAGCTTGGAAGGCTTCTTGGGAAGAGAAGTAGGCAAGGCACTGCCCACATAAACTTGTCGGCAGGTCTGGCTGTGGGAAGGCATTCAGGAGAAATCGTTTTCTTGAGAAATCAGAGGAGCTCCACACACTAAGCTCTGGCTGGCTACACGGAAGGGGTCTCTTTCTCTTCAGGCTGGGACTTGAGGTCAGGCAGGGGGGAAAGCCAGACACACTCACTCCCTGGAGCCAAATTCCTGGAGCCCAGGCTGCTCACCTCCCCCCAGGCACCCAGGCCCATTAGCAGGACCAGAAACGGCCCAACCACCAGGACTGGGGCAAGGAGAGGATGGTGGGGTTCCACACATGCTGAATGAGTCTGGGAGTTAGAAGTCAGAGATTAAGACTCCACTTCCAGAAGTGGCCCAAGTCTTGCAAATATCTTGGCATGTCTGTAGCAGAAGCCAGGAGTGTTGAGCCTTCTGGGGTGGCCCCTGTGCCAAGTGGCAGTCTGAGGGCTCACTGTGGTGAGCAGTGACTTCCTCATCTGCTCTGGGCAGGGGTCACGACAGCAGTTTAAACCTGAGCTCATTCCTCCACCCTCTCTGCCTCCCCTCTCGTCTTCTTGGTCAGGTGGGTCCAGGTGGTGCCCGGGTAGACAGCTGAGGTGGCAAGAAAGAGTACTGGACTTGGAGTCAGAAGGCCTGGGTGTGACCTGGGCACCCATCTACGAAACCTGGGTGACTGGAGGGGCAAAAAAAAAAAAAAAGCAGCCCTAATTTAATCTGACTCCAAAGGCTGTGAGAATGCAAAAAAGAGCAGGTGCTCAGTGCCTTGCCAAGTACAGGGCAAACCCAGGAGACTCTTTCTGAAGTCTTTGCGTATGCAAAGTCCCAGCAAGGCAGGTACCATCATATACCTCAACTGTTAATGTGTGTAGCTGGAGGAATGCATTTGAATTAAAGTTGGAGGGATTTTAGTTTGGATAAAAGGAGGGACTTCCTGCACATCCAGGCAATAAAACTCCTGGAAGGCTAATCCAGAAAAACCCAGGGAATCTCACCCTGGAGACCTTAACAAAGAAAGGCCTGTGTTTCAGACCTGGAAACCTCACCTGCAGAGCAGCTTTCCCCTTGGGGCTGAGTTCAGACCAGCCAGGTGTATGGTCTGCTTTCGCTGGCTTACATAGGGCATCTGACTGCCCTGTTGAAGCCAGATGGGGCTGGACTGGGAAGGGGGCATTATTAGTGGGAGGCAGGAAAAAGTGGGAGGGTATAGCCAGGGTTCCAGAAGCTCACTGGGGGTCCAGAAAAGAACAAAAGCCCAGGGGGCTGAAAATGGCTGGCAACATAGACATCTCCGTATTTTCCTTAAAGTGATGCCATGGGACCCAACGTCAAAAGCTAGAGCCCAGGCTTGTGATGGGAACACCACTCAGTGCCCACCTCTGGATCTGAGACCTGAAAGCCCAGAGAGAATTGTTTACTTAATCTCTTCCAGGTGAGATCAGCCCCTTTGTGAGTTGCAGCCCCCATCCAGCTCTTGGATCGGGGGTGGGAGGGTGGGGGGGGTTTCTTGCATTTCAGTAATGGTTAGGGCGGCCCTCATATCACTTTAAACCATCCACTGCTGTCAGGTTCAATCTCAGGCTGCAGACCCCTGTGGAGACCCAAGTCTGGGACAGAGCTTCTTCCCAGGCTGGCCACTGGGTGCGCAAAATCAGCCCAGAAGGCAAAATGCTGCCCAAACAGAATCAACCATGGCATGCATGTCAGAGTCCAGTGGAGAGGAGGGAGTTTCAGCTGGTCAGTGTCATGGTCTTCATTCCCCACCTGGCAGAATGAAGATCTGAGAGCTGGTGGGATGACACACCTTTGAAGGTTGGGGTTACATTAATCTTTAATCCTGATTTTAGTTGTTTTGTTTTTTACAAAAAAATGAAAAAAAAAAAAAGATAGAAGGACTATGCTGATTGGCAGGTTGACACTAGAAAAGGAGGTAGAGTTACGGCCTTCCTAATACATCAATTTCCATCCTGGTTCTGCTGTCGT